CTTTTTCTCAATGAAGCCTAGCAATCATTCATTCCTAAGGAGATGGGTGTTATCAAGATTTTTAATTATCACAACAAATGACTTCTAAATAAGCCTCCAGCAATGGGCAAAGAGGCTGCATTTTTTAATCCTTTAAATCGTTTGAATAGGGTGCCTGAAAGTCTACTTAGTTCAGAAATAATAAAATCTGGCCTCAGCGAAGTTTTCGTCGAAAATTGTTCCTTGGCTCATTGCATTAAGGTTACCATTAACTCTGCTATACTACTTAAATTAAATAATTAATAGCAGTAATGCAAATAAATAAATCAATAGACTGGTCATGAAGATAAGCTGGATTTTACTAACTCCTGTCGGATCATTCTTTTGCTGAATTTCATTTTGTGTGAAATTGGGGGGTCGAAGTTGTTTGCAAGTAAGTCTAATCGAAATAAGACTGCGAATCCTTCTTTATCTACTGTGGCTCGATACCAAAGAAAACTTTCCTCGCGCAGTACTTGAGGCACTTCTTTGGTTTGCTGCAAACGTGCTCGCATTTCTTCTATGATGTGACCAAGCTTTTCAGAACCAAATATCATTTTTATGCTAACCTCAAGCCAGCACCGAGTCTGGGTTGCGGATATTTGCTCCCTCAAAATCAATCTGGCTAATGTTATTTTGTTCCATCTGTTGGTTCACTTCTAGGCCATTGCTACGTTTCCTAGCAGTTTTGAAGCGAATTTCATCCCAGCATAGTCATGAGACCTTATTTGGATGAATTCATTCCATGCATTTGTTCACACGACTTTCATGCCTTTTCTTTAAATTAAATAAGAATTTATGGATTAGCCAGAAGTTGGGCTTAACAACCGTTCTTCATATTCCATTTCCTCTTCAGGCTATGCGAAACATCTCAAAGGAGAGGTGAAGATACAGTCTGAAGCCGCGGAAACCCCTTCTTCGGCCCCGGGCCGTCATCACGAGGATCAGTTGTTGGCGGCATATGCGATTGCGGCCAAACCCGCACCTGGCCACTTGCTGCTAACCGGAGACCATCTACACAACCATACGCCTTCTGTCGGGGGCAGACAAAATGCTTGCGGTGTTCTAGAGGTGTCGGTTGAAGAGGAGGAGGAGGAAGCTGCTGCCGATTCGCGAGACACAGACGTGGTTGATCGGAACGGAATTGATCTGCTTGCTAGGCGAGGAGATGTCGTCATATCGGAGGGTTACTCCTTTGCCCAGACAACCAAAGGCATGGTGGCAACGAATGACCCGACTTCCTACGAAGCCCCTCAGTCAATTAGTCAACAACAGCAAAGACCTTTGGATCGCGTTCAGCCTCCTTTCGTCATGGCCGCCAATGGTGATGAGATCCAGCCCACCTTTCAGGAGATCCGACGGGATCTGGAAAAGAAAAAGTGAGACTTGTCTCTAGTGCATTTGGCAATGGTTGCATTCATTTGTAGACTAGACAAGGCGTTGCGTAGAGAAGAGAATTGATATACCCTCCGATAGTTTTGCGTGAGAATAAATTTGAGATTGACACCATTCTTGTGTTAAGACCTTCTATTTCATGCGCAATTAGTCATTTCCTCACGAGACTTCCTGACGGTCAGAATGAATAGTCTTTGGTTGCCTTTACAACAGATATGTAGACCAAGATGGTGTGACCTCTGTTTCGCAACTTGGCGACCTTATGAAACTGTTTCATTTGCCATATTAGTTATGATAATTTCCGTTGACATGGTGCTTGAAAATGTACCAAGTCGATTGTCCGATGCTGGAAATTACCTTGACTACTATGGTAAAGAAAGCAGGACAGGTAGGTTGCAGTAGGTCTCCTTGTCGCCTCGAATTCACATTTGTTGTTGGAGAGAATTTCATTTCGTATGACGATGCTTGAAGAGGAGATTCGAAGATGGATCTCACCATAAGAGGGCGGCAGATTTCCGTTGTACTGCAGCCGTTTGGCTTTAATACGTTTAGGTTGACGCAATCCACGAGAAATCCTCCCTCGTTTGGAATGATAACGGGCTGAGCTTTCGTCCATCACATGATGGACATCATCAGAGCTGGAATTCGTTCTTGTAAAAGCCTCACGTCAACACTAGGTCAATAAGACTATCCGGCTCTATCTTACCTCTTCTATTTACTTATAACTAAGGTCAAGCGGATAGAGCTGGATAGTTTTCTTGACCTAGTGTTAATGTGAGACTTTTACAAGAATGAGTTCCAGCTCTGATGATGTCCATCGTATTATGGACGAAAGCTCAGCCCGTTTTCACCCGAAACGATCGAAGATGTATCTTGGGCTGCGTCAACCTGAACGTATTAAAGCTAAACGGCCGAGGTACAACGGTTATTAGCCGCCCCTTTTGGTGAGATCGATCTTTGAAACTCTTCTTCATGCACTTTCATACGAAATGAAAGTCTCCAACAATTTTATCTCAGGTGATTCATCGAAACCCAGTTACTCTTCGTATTCACATTTGTTCTCGCGAACCTTCTGCTTGAAAAAAGAGCTAATCTTCTTCCATAGATGCCATCGAATTCGTTACAGACTGACTAAGCGGCGAAAAATTTGAGAGCATGCTGTATGCTAAATACAGTGTTAGGAGAAGATTTTCTCCTCTAAATTAACCTGTGGCCTCGCGTTACAAGACCTTTCAATTCCAGATGTTTGTCGAATAATCAGGTCCATATAGCCTCCAATGGTTGATATAACTCAGACTGTATTTTCTGGTCTGTGGTGATAAGCGCAGGAACTAAATGACTGCCCACAAATACACGCGCAAACCGGATGATCTCCTCATCAAAGGTACCCACCTACATTCACATGTGCAGGCTCGTGAGCATTGTATTACAAGCTTCCCACCTTCCAGAAGGGTTTCACCGGGGAACATAGGATCTTAGCACGTGACTTGCTGCAAAAGGCAGCCAGACCATTTGGGACTTTATCCTCCTGGCGGCCTTGACTATGCCTATGGCTCTTCCAGAATCACGACACCCTCGTAGGTGAGAAGACCGAGATGGCGTGACATTTGGTTCATTCACAATCTTCTCTCTGTACAGAGCTGGTTTGTCCTGGTGATAGGTTCCCTGTTATAGGCGAAGCTCTGCATAAATCCGTGTGGAATTCAGACTGCGCGCCGAAGACTTCGTCGCACAGTCAAAACACCAAGACATAATCCTCTTTCAGTTTCCGGTTAAGCCTACTCCCAACCAATGATTCATTTGTTATTAGGAATCCAGTGAAATGAAGTTAATTATTAATATTTGTATGATAAGTATGGGTCTAATATAAAACTACCACACTTCTACAATTTCTCTTAGCTGTGAAACAAAACTTTTGGTAATGACAATTAGTTGCCTATCGAGTTAAAACTCCCCACAAAGTAATTAAGCACGTTTACGGTTCCAAAACTGCTGGGAGTGCTGATAAGATGTGGTTGAAGTTGCTATCCACTCTTAATGCTACTGCCCTCTTGTGACATAGGACCAAGTAAACTTCGGCGAGTCTCATTCTGAACAATTTCAGTCAATAAAACAACTAAGCAACAGTCGAAACTGAGGCACCTCTACAACAATCAAGCTTCCAATTGCTGTAAACAAAACTGTCGGTGGCCACAAAATTGTTGCATGGAGCCTTGCCTGGCACCAGTTGGGTACATTGAGCGATCCTAGGCATATCTTGTATCACGTTGTTTTACTTAATACCTTGCCTCGTGTCGTATGCTGCAGAAGTTACTTGTCGAGGGATTCCATAGCTTTTGCTAAGTGGGACTTGTAGTCTAGTCCAAATGAAAAAAATTTCTGTGCATGATAGAATTAAATTAAAGCCTTTCTTAAATCCATCTTTTACACCCCATTTATGCACTCCTAAAGTTGTCTTTTTTATTTCGCTATCCCCTATAATGCTCGACTCGTTCCAGACGTTTAAATAGGGTAAACCTCAAGACTAACTTAATCGTTTGTGTTTCGACGCACAACTCTACTTGTCCAAATCGAGTTTAGGTTTTAAATCCGTTTGAAGATATGAAGACCAAGATGTTGTGGTGATAGTGTAACCGTTTTCGGTAGAACGTTTGTCTAGGGATTCACTTCACTTGCCTCTTTGACGAGTTCGTGGCTTGGTGCGGAGAATGGCAAAACTTACTGATGATGCTGACTACGATGCCGGCGAAACGTTTTGAAAATGTATCAAGTCGACAGTCTGATTCTGGGAATCATGACAACTACTATCGCAGACGATTTCGGACTAGGTGCATTCTACTAATTTCCCCTGACAACAAGACCAAGTTGCGACAACGAGGCCAACCCACTTCTTTAAATTCGTTTGTCTAGATTTCGCATCGATTCGTTAAGTTGTTATCCAAGATACGAAGGCTTGCCAACTAAGGAGGCAGTTGTGCCTTTGTAAAAGATGTTCATGAGGCGGTATCGAGGCCTGTAACTATATTGGAAGCTGATTCATGACAGACACGCTAAAGATGTTGGCGCAAGGCTCAAAGTCGAAGGCGAAAAGCGAGTGACTACTTTGAATGTAGTGACTGCGGCGGGCTAGCCGTATTCCTCTTCTCCAAATACACTCTTTCGCTTGCTCAAGTAAATCCGGTTTGACTGGCTGAGGAGTTGACCACATGTGTCCACGTGCATTTTGAAAGACCGAATGGCAAGTTTGACGTTTAGATGTGTGTCGGCCATAGGATTATGAATGGAAGACTAGGATGCTGTTCATAGCTCGAATCTCACTTGTTCTTGCGAGGGGGAACTTGCGGGCGATGTCAAACCCGCATTCGGTGTGATTTTGACATGACCTGGTTACTGCGATTTGGGCACAGCCCGTGGGCTAATGCGTGCCGAAAGGTAACCTCATGTGCAGCAGCCTGCAAATGGACCAAGATATTATCGGATAATGAGATTGGATGGCACGAGTGGGGACAGTAAGTAGCTATTATAGTTGGTACTTATTAATAAATTACTACTAACTAGTTAAATACTTCTATTACTACTAATAACTGATACTAATTACCAATTATTAGTAAATTATAAATTGATTAACAAGCAAGGACCCAACTGACTGAAATCCTATCTTACAAATCTTGGTATTCACTCAGATTCATTCTGCCTTTTTAAAGTTCAATTTGCCTACAATACTGTGTCTCTGTCCATAAAGAGGAAATCCATGTCTTTATAAAGATGAAAAATCACTTGCATGTTTGCTAAACGGTGGTCTGGAAAATTTTGGTTGAGATACGGAAAGCACAAAAGGCCGACTTAACAATGGTCTGGAACACATTCTGCTTGCATCGAAATTCCTTGAAAGGTTTGTTTCCAAGCTTTAGGAATCACAAGTTAGCTCACCCCACTCTCTGTCTGGCATTCGATTTGGGCGGACGACACACTAGACCCTTACCAGGCAAGGGTACTACTTATTTTCCGTTTATAAGTGCGTTTTCGACATTACCAGTAGATCTGCGATAAAGGCTATATTCACCCTATTTCATCCTTCGTCATTTGAAATTAGATGAATACAGCTCATATAACACATCCACAGATAATCTCGAAAAATAAGTAATGCGGTAAATTGTGATAGCAAATACAAATTTGGCTTGTAAAAAATCTTACCACAAGAATGTGGTATAGGAAAGACTTAGGCTTATTTGGAATCCGCTTGTGTGCTGTCACCTAAGGACACTCGTGGCAGTGTGGCGTATTAGTCCACATATTGAGACTACACTCTGCACTACCCAGGTTCGAGTCCCGCTCGGGGTCCTGATGAGACCTAGGCCAAACTGCAGTCCATCCTGGATAATAATACCTTTTAGGGAGCAAGGCTATGTGAAATTCAATGGGAACATGAAGCTTACTCATATACATTAAACGAGATATGATGAATGCATTTCTTATGAGAGAACTACTTGACTAAAAATTAATTCTATTGTCGTGATCAATTCTTAGTGAAAATTTTTTAGTACTCGATTTAAAACTCATGGTTTCACTAGATTTCTCGAAACCAGCATGCGTTCTATTAGAATCGGACCAATAATATAAGATAGCAAGCCAATGAAGAGAAGCTGGGTTTCAAGATATCCCTTACTCGATTTGTGATGATATACTTTCCATCTTCTCTGAAGAGGCGGGGATAAGGGATTCTTAAATTGACCTCACCGGATGCCGATAGGGATTGTATTGTAGTTTCAACCACAGATTCGTTAGAATAAGTCCTCCATGCCCCATCCCACCATCTAAGTTTTTATGAAAATATGAGTTACAAACTTAGGAAAATCAGTCCGATTCCTTTTCTCTAATAGCTTAGCTTTTAAATAAAAGTTCATCTGCCAACTGTGCATAAATTATATGGATAATTCACAACGTACGACGGCAAGATTTGTAATTACATTTACAGCAATGCCATTGTC